ATTAAAATTCTGTGATTGAGAAAGTTTATTTTCTTAAACACTACCACAGTTGAGGAGGTTCTACCTTCCCAGGGAGGTTTCAGGCTCACTGATGTTCTGCCATATAAGTCACTTGTAGATGCCCAAAAAGCAGTTAGAAAGTAGAGCTTTGGATGGAGCTGGTGGGTCAGAGACATTGAAGTGATGTTGGAGAAATGAAGGAACTCTTCAAAGTTCAGTGATGTTTATCCTATATTCCTTTGTGCTAGATGGTGTTCAAGTACCATCACTTATTCAAACATTGCCTCTAAAGAATGGAAGTTACCTCCACTGGCCTCTGAAACTTCAGATATTGCAACTAACCCATGCGTCCACATGGGAAGGCTATTGCTCTTCCTTCCTCACAGGCACACAGACAATACTGACCCGCAGGAGGTGCTGGGTAAGATGAGTCACAGCCTTGAGGACATATTCTTCTAAGGTAGGTGGAGGTGTGATCACTTCTGCACATGTTTTGTGTCACAAACCAGTGTGCAAAATGTCAACAGAGCTCTCAGTTACCTATAATAATCAATTCTATTTCTTTAGCAGTTATCACACGTGTGTGTTTGATTTTTGATAACTGGCAAAAAACCTTTTCTTCAGGTATTTCTAGAGAGTGTAATTTATTTACTAGTGGATTCATATCAAGTCCCAGAAGAGGGAATTTTCAGAGGTAGAGAGAGACCAAGGAGAAGCTGTGGACAGATCATTTGCCAACAGCTGTTTTCCAACCATGAGCCACTGTCAGGTTCTAAGCAAGGACGTCAAATAGTCCCATTAATGGATGGAAGGTAGCACTCTGAAATGTAGAAGTTAAGGTGAAACATTGGCTAGTGGTGAAGTACAAGGGATTTGGCCACAGCCCTGTTACCTAATCTTTAGTGTCTCTGGGTAAGTTAATTAACTTCTTCAAAGTTCCTTTAAAAAGCCACAAAATATTGGTCAATAAAAGAAACTACCTTATTGAGTTGTGAAAATCCATTATTGGAATAAATAAAGAGAAGATTGGAATAAATAAAGAGAATAAATAAAGAGAAGCAACCAATATATATATAAATATAATGCATATATTATATAATTATAAGTTCTATCTGGCATCGTATGTTTGAAATTATCATGATTTCTGTGAAGTCACACAAAGTTGTCCTGACTGTATAATAAATGAAAGTTTGGTGTTCTCACCTTATGTAAGAAGTTGTTAAGTTCATTAGCCTCTAAATGTTTTATCCAATACTCAATAATTTATATTTGTTAAACTAGCAAGAATCATATTTTCTAGTTTCAAATACCTCAAGAACTTTATGGAATTAGTTATCTCATTGTTAAAGAGAAATTACACAAAATAAGCAGTTTTCCAAGATAAAGTCAAAGAGGTTAAGTGTAACTACAGAAGAGTGAGACATCAAGTCTCACTTGAGGATGAAAGAGACTTGGATGATCTGAGAAGTGAACTGTATTAGAAATGATAATGGTGGTGGGAAGAAGAAAACCATGAAAAGTTCAGCAGAGTAATGTGCAGATATTTTTGGTCAGAAGATCATGATGTTAGGATGATTAATGGAAAGTAAGCTGAGCTTCACATTAGGCTGAGCAGTTTCCTAAGACAATGGAGACAAACCTCCCTGTTCTAAAGATGAGTGTTCAGGAACCAGAGAACTCTATTGGAATTTTAACTCTGAAGTCAATACAGGACTTCTGACTCCAGCCATATTTTACATACTTATCTGTGTTTCCATGCTCTGCATGGAGTCTAGGGTCATAAGAGGAAGCCATAATTTGGGCCTGCCACAGTGTTGGCTGGTATGAGCCAGTAAGCATGTGTTGTACATTTGAAATTCCTGTGAAGTGTGGGATATTTTCAAAAATCTTAGGTGTTTTTTCATGATAGCAGATTGCCTACTGGAATTTCTTCAGAGCATCATTGTAGTGATAAGTGATGGCATCTGGCCCAGTTGGTGGACACGTTGACAATGCTGTGTTGATAGAGGAGATGTGATTCCAATAGGGGCATGTCTTTTGAGCATCACAAACTAAAGTAATTGTCAATTAGGATATAAACTGGCAGATCTTCGATATTTGTCCAAGACCAAACAAAGTTAACTGTTTAGACTCTTTGTGATTCAGTTAAACTAGGGAACCCCTTTGTGGGACAAAGTATGCTTTCTGTACCTGATCCCCAGAGGTGTACCAGGCTTTTTTGTTGTTGTTGTTGTTGTTGTTTGATTTCCAACAAGCTCCCAAATCATAATTGAAAGACTTCTTATTATTTATGAATGCTCATCCTAGCTTAGCCTCATTTCTGGCTACCTCTTTTAACTTAAATTAACCTGTTTCTCTTTATCTACCTTTTGCCTCAGGGCTTTTTTCTTTTTTCTATATGACCTGCTCTGTCTCTGCTGTCTGGCAGCCGCCTGACTCTTCCCAGCATTCTCCTTTCTTTTTCCTTTATTCTCTCTTGTTCTTCTCTCTTTTCATTCTTCTTGCCCTCATTTGTCTTGAGCCTAGAAGTCTCCTTCTATTTATTCTCTCTGCCCACCAGGCCCACCTATCCATCTTCTCTGCGTAGCTATTGACCATTCAGCTCATTAGACTGATCAGGTGCCTTAGGTAGGCAAGGTGAATCAAATGCAACACAGCTTTACATAATTTATGTACATCCTTACATTGTCAAACAAATATAGCATAAACAAATATAATACACCTTTAAAGAGTTAGAGTAATATACTGCAACATAAACAAATGTAACCTGTTTTGCCTTATTAAAGTAAAATTTAGCAAGATAGGGGAGTCTGACTCATGAAAATTTGTTTTACATTTATTTACCTATTGTATGTGTAGAGAGAACTCATGTAGCACAGTACATGTGTGGAGGTCAGAGGAGAGGTAATAGATCTATTTGCTTCTTCCACTGTGTGGGTTCTATGGTTTTTCAGGTGTGATGGTACCATCTCTCACTTAGCCATCTTGTGGCCCTCATTTGTTTAATTTCTATTATAACGGGCTTTCTTTGTGCATGATTTGTTTCCTTGACATTTTATTTTGTGAATAGCCTTTCTCTTTGTTTTTCACTCTAGTTACCACTACATGAATTCATTGATGTTCCTTCTTCAGGTGTCTTGTATTCATTCTCTCTGAATGAGATTGTTTCAGAATAATATGTGAGCCTATTACAGGAGAGATTCCTTTGTGATTGAGTCCAGGGTAAATTAAGGCAAAATGAGAGAGAGAGAGAGAAGTACACAACTCGACCAGTAGAAGCATTTGAGCTTCTTTTTTTTCACTTTGTATCTGGAATCTGTGCTCCTCTTTGCAACTGCTATTAACTATTGTCAGTCTTTTGATTAAAACACTTTCATTTAAGAGGCAGACACTTACATTCCAAGGACTGTTGATAAAAATAACAGCATCATTGATAAGTACTGTGTAATTGCAGATTCAGAGTGAGCAGTACTTTGATTTTTTCCAATTCTTGATAAACAAAGTGAGCAGCATGTACCACCCTTTATATATCCAAAGTTTCAGATTCAGTCAAGTAAACTGTAGACTACTCCCATAATAGCAGAACAAGTCTTGGTTAGGCCTGAAGATGTAGAGAGTATAAAACACTGATTGAAGAAATTACCAATGAGTGACATACCATCTTGGTAAGATGCTTGAAGAATCCAGAATGTTTGCCAAATTGGCGTCATGACAGTCAGCAGTATGATGAACTGTCACAAGGGTACTGTGGATGCAAACAGTGGAGCATATATGACTTCTTATGTCACTGAATTAGTGTAGTAATACATCCAGCATTTCTGTTTCTAGATATGCAGTCAAAATAATGGTTTTTTTTAGGCTATACGATTTATTTATATGTATTGTATTATATATGTATGCATTAAATATATTTAATAGATACATGTAAATTTATAAAAATATATTGATGTTTTCCTACTTATTAGAAAAGCACAGAAATAACTAAATTCTTCCATATGGAAAAGGATAACTGCTGTGGAAAATTCTAGCTACAGATCTCAATTTATAAAAATGAATTCAGAGATAGCATATACTATACATAATTTAAGGCAAGAGAAAAATTTAATATTTTTATGCAAAACATAAGTAAAAAATAATCTTACTGGGGAAAAGATAACAGTTCAGTACAGAAAAGTGTCCTGGTTAATACTGGTGCAATTCTTGGAGCCCCAGGAACAGAACATTTAATTGTCTAGCTGAGGATGAGAAACAACTTGCAACCCTCTATACTGGGTAGGTGTTGTTCATTTTTGGTGCCTTTATTTTCATCTCCAAAAAGTAAAAAGTCCAAGATCTCATATGTAAGCCACAGCACATTATTTAATGGCTCCCAAACTGTGAAGAGGCACCTGGAATGCACTCATGAGACGTGTTCAGGTCACACTGTCATCTTCAGAGCAACCTGCTTTAGCTTCACTCTGACCATCTCCGTCGCTAGTCTCCTCTTGAGCTTTATTCAACAGAGTAATCCTTCTATCTCCATAACGGCCCCAAAGGAAGGGATTCACAGAGTCTTCCTTCATGAGGGTGATAATGCCGCACCATCAAAGAACTGACTGTACAAGCCACAGGTATTCAGGTCTGGTCCAGGGTCCACAGTTTCTGAGAACAGTAGGTTCCAACTTCAGAACACAAAAACCCCTTGTTTCATGAGCTTATGAACTTGGAAGTTGCCTGCCTCTTTTCTTTCCTGACCACAGAAAGGTAAATACTCAAGCAGATGGGAAACAGAGGAAGATAGTATGGACCCTTCATCATTATCAGCTGAAAGGGACGGCTGTCACTGAATACATAGACCAACATGGTGATGGCAGCTGTGAGAACAGAGGAACATCAAAGGGATCTTGAGGGCAACAGTCTCTCCCAGTTCCCATCTGCGCATGCCCTCTCTAACAACAGGGCCTGTCTCTGCTCCTTCTCAAGACAGCCCTATAAATGCAGGCTGGCTATTCTTTCCCCACACACTGGGCTTCTGCTCACCCTTCCTCCAGGTGACTCTCAGCCATGAAGACACTTGTCCTTCTCTCTTCCCTTGTCCTGCTGGCTTACCTGGCCCAGGCTGATTCCATCCCTGAAGCAAGTGAGGAGAATAAAAATGAGGATCAGCCCGGAGTAGAGGACCAGGATGTGTCCATCTCCTTTGGAGGCCCAGAAGGCTCTGCTCTTCAAGAAGCAGGTAAGTGGTGGTGCCCAGTGTGATAGTGGGTTGGAGTCTCCTGAGAGAGAGAAATGAAGATGTGCCTTGGGTTCCTTTCAAGAGCAATCTGGCTTCCTTAGGAACTCTGTCTTGCTTCCTTTTCTTTCTTATTCACAACAGTATCATTAAGAGAGGAGGAAGTCAGTTAATTTTCTTTCTCATGTTTTTTGCTCTAAAAACCCACTTTGAAATTTCACCAGAATATAGTGCAATATACTGAGTGAGCCTTATAGAACAAATTGAGTAGTCTTAGGTTTAAGGAGATAATTTTCTTTTGTTAGGAGAACTTCAAGTCAGTGTAAGATTTCACTCAAGTATATGAATGGTGAGAAAATGAGCATACAAATTATAGACATATCAGAATAGATTTGATGTTCTGCATGTTATCAACACTGAATACGACTCAAGTACATTATTTCATTTTCTGTTGAGTTTACCATATGGCTGGCTGTAATGTTACCCATGCAGTATCACACATCTTCATAGGCTGTATAATATCCCATCCAGCCAACCTCCACACTCAATTCTTGATTTTCTATGTATGTCTCCAGCCTCAAGGAAGCTCTTGACATGCTACTGTCGAAGGCGATCCTGCAAAATACTAGAACGCATCAGTGGGATCTGCACCAGGGGTAGGAAAACCTACGTGTTCTGCTGCCGCTGATCATGGAGACCAGAAACAACAAGATGACCATCTGAGGCCCAAGAGAGGCCTCTGATTAACATTACCCTCGTGTTTCTCCTTTGTCTCCATTAAATTTCTTGCATTATGTTCCTTGTGTGATTGCATTCTTTCAGTATTTGCTATATGGCTCAGTCAGGACTCTGGAAATCAAGTACCAGAGCCTTCAAGGAAACTTTTGCATTTGAATAAATAATTTAGTTTTTACCCACAAAATATAGACTCCAACGTATGATCCCTTCATTTGGAAACAAAATGTAAAGAAATTTCATAGTGCTTATGATTCTTCTACATTTCTCTCTTGACTTTTGACTCTGCCTTCATGTAGATACAACTCACACTCAAAGACATGCCTACATCTTAAGAAAAAACTATTACTTTGGGCTTCAGGTTTATACAGTCCTAACCTTAATTTTTCAGGAACCACAGTCTCCTTAAAAAGTGTTAAAATTTTAATGATTAGGCCTGGATTATGCCTCTACCTTCTAAGCACTGGGTTGTTTTTGGCTCCATAGAGACAACTTTTACCAATATTGGAAATGTTAGTACAAAGACAGAATAGGTCTGAACAAATTCAAAGCAACCCATTATATGATGTGCATATATTCACAGTACCTAAGCTTGTATACAGCAAAAGGTATTTTCTATACAGAAAACTGTTCTTCATATACAGTAAGAGCATGTGCCTAATGATTCCAATTTGCTCTGCAATATACACTATGTGAGTTATCTGGTAGCTTTGGTGGGCGTAATGTAGCTTGGATGTGATTCCAAGAAAAATAAAAAATCAACAGATGGTTCTCCCTGAAGCTTGGAGTCCCCAGTGGTGCTACAGATTGTTAAGACTCAGACTCCAGAACATTGCACACTCCTTAGTGGAGTTATGTATGATATCTGATGAAAAGACATCATCGGTGACCTCTTAGATTGCATATTCCAGGAACACAGGTAATGTGGGTTCACAGCATACATCCTTGTGGGCAAAGGAGGCATGCTGGGAGAATAGAATACCCCATCACTCTTTGAGGAAAAAGGGATGCTAGAAGCATCTCATTTGGTAGTTGCTATAACAATCTGTGTTGGGCCATGACAGATACCAGCTCCACCAAATGAACTAGTAGAGAAAGTGTAACTTCAGACAGTACAACTCTTTTAGCCTCAAATATCACAGAAAATTGATGAGTGATTGCAAACATAATATGCAGTTACCAAAGTCCCACAAAACATTTCTTTCTTAAAATCTTTCTTATCATGTCCTGTCCAAAATAAACTTAATGATTTAATGATAACCAAATGTGGGGTCATCCTTTTGAAATATAATCATCTGAGGACATAGGTACTCTGTTTTCAGGTACAGTTAGTGTAACTCCATTAAGTGTCAATCATCAAACATTTGACACAATCACATTGATTAAACCACTGACGTTCTCCAAGGCTTCTCCACTAGACCACAATGCCGAAAGCCTGACTTTGTCTCTAAAGAGTTCATTCAAACTTCTCACTCTATTGCCAATTCTTGACCATGGTTGAATTAATCTTATGAATTCTTCCTTCCCACTTTTGAAGTTTGAGGTGAAATTTTCTTATAAAATGCAAGAGTTGTTTGTTTTTAAACTGACCTATTGTAATGGTGAAAAATTACAGTGCATAATAGTAAGGGTTGATATATGTATATGCAGATTGTGAAATTATTGAACTGGGGAATTAGCATGTCTGTTACCTCAGACATTTATAATTTCTTTCTGATGAAACACTAAAATTCTACTGTCTTAGCTATTTTGAAATACATAATCCATTATTATTTAAAATCATGTTATTATATAGTAATTGACCAGAACTCATTGTTCCTACCTAGATGTAATTCTGTACCCATTGACCAACATTTCCTCTGCAACCCTTGACCTTGCCAGTCTTCTTTAGCAAGTATTCTATTCTCACTTTCTATTATGTTGATTTTTACCTTGTATATGTGAGAACATGTTGTCCTTATATTTGTGCATCTGGATTTTACACAGAAAGTGTCCTCCAGGATCATCTCAGTTATTGAAAATTCCATCTTTTTATGGTTGAACAGTACTCTATCTGTACACACGCAAATACATACACACACACATACACAAACACACAAATACACGCACACACACAATGTTTTTGTATACCAAATTCTCCATATTGACACACCCACTGTGGAACATGGAGATCAATGCCATCTCTTGGCAATAATGTACAATGTACAGAGCTATAATACACAATATCTGTCCAATTTGTGTTCATTTCCATTTGAAAGTTTGGTTTCCTGCTTTCTACAACCAGAATCAGGATATAAAGGAGTGAGAAAATATATTTTTGTGTGCTTTGAGAACTTTCCTTTTCGCAATAAAAGCTCCATAGGTCATTTCAGAAATGTACAGGTTAGAGAAAAATTTCTCTGGTCTTAGGTGGCACAGATGGTCACCTTCTCAACCTCTTAGTAGTTTGACTCCCTAGATGACAGTGACCTCACTCTCTTCAACCCTCTAGCCAATGACCAGATGTCCACACACTTGCCATTGCCTTGATTCCCCCTTCTTTGTGTGTCAACCTAATACTCCTGGATTATAATCTATCCCACTGCTTTCAGGTCTTCTGATGTGGGTGACCCCAGTTCTTTGATAATTAGCCTCAGTAAAGTTGTGCTTTAGAATGACCTGAGAACTCTGATGCCCAGGCGATACCTACGCCAGCTGTAGCTATCCCTTTCATTCAGAATGCCCTACATTAGAACTGATCGTGTTTTGCCTATGTATTATTAACTGGAGTTTTGGATTCAAGGTTCAGGAACCACCTGAGGCTGAGGCAGCATTTTCATTCAAATTTTTGAGAACTGTTAAGAGGAATCCTGACTAGAGACACTGACTGGTTCAAGGAAAAATAATGTTGTGCTGGCCTTTATTTCTCTTTCTTTTACTGATGTCTTTGATATGGTGGCAGAGTGAATGAAGGGCAGATCTATAGAACCTTATTATATTAAATTCCTAGTTAAAAAAATATCACATTCTGATTTCCCTCATGTTCTAGCAATTGCCAAGGCCATACACCTCCTACTAACTCTCTCCACAAGGACAGAGAATGGAACTTGGGTTGCACACTAATCCTGCATTCTTTGTACTTCACCACTAGCAAAGGTTCCACCTTAAGTTCTGCATTTTAGAGTGATAACCTCTGTCATTTATTAGAATTATTTGTTTTTCTTGTTTAGAACCTCACAGAGGCTCAAGGTTGAAAGACACCTGTTGATAGATGGGCTTTCCATTGCTTCTCCTTGCTCTCTACCTCTGTAAATTCCCTCCTCTGGGATTTGATGTGAACTCACTAATAAATAACCCATATTCTCAAGAAACACCTAAAGAAAAGGTTTTTACCAGTTATAACAATCCAAAAAAAATCACACATGTATGATCACTGCTAATGAAATAGAGTGGATTAATAAGGGTAACTGTGAGTTCTATTGACATTTTGCATACTGGTTTGGGACACAAAACAAGTATAGGAGTGATTACATTTACACCCATCTTAGAGTCCAAGAAATCTTAAGAAGAATCCTCCAAGTAAGTAGAGTCTGAGTGCCTATGAGGAAGAAAGTGGAAGAGCCCTCCCATGAGCACAAGTGGGTCAGTTATAAGATCTGAACATTCAGAGGCCAGTGGAGGTAACTTGCTCTCTTTAGCGGCACTCTTTGAATAAGTGATGGTACTTGGACAAGATCTAGTACAATGAAATGTAGGAGAAACAGCAGTGAACTATGAAGAGTTCCTTCATTTCTCCAACATCACTTCAATGTCTCTGACCCACCAACTCCATCCACAGCTCTACTTTCTAAGTGCTTGGTTTGCATCCACATCTGATATTATAGGCCAGAATGTAATGATCCTGAAAACCCTTCCTGGGAAGATGAAATTTCCTCAGTTATGGCAGTGATTAGAAAGACAACTCTGTCTCAATCACAGGATATAACAAAAATTTTGCAAATGCAAAAAATCACTCTAACACACCAGTTTGAGTTTTACAAATTTAAGTTAAAAGAAAGAAAACTCAGAAATATTATGAAATAAAATTAAAACCCACGTTGTTTGGTATAGCAAACAAGAAAGACAAAGAAAAACGATAATCTTTAAGATTTGTAACATAATACCAAGACAAAGTTTCCAGAAATTATGAACAAAAGCTAAATGTTAATTAGAGAAAATGTGGGTCTGGAAGGATGACTCAATGGTTAAGTACATTTGGTGCTCCTGCAGAGGGCACAAGTTCTGTTCCAGCACGCACATGGTAGCTAATAGCTTTCTGAAACTCCTTTTCTAGGTGATTAAACTGTATAATCAGGTCTCCATAGACAAGAGGCGCACACACACACACACACACACACACACACACACACACACACACACACACACACATTCAGGCAAATTCCTTATACATGTAAAAATAAAAATAAGTAAATGTTTTTCTTTAAAAATGTAAAATGAAATCTGTGGTTGATATGTAAAATGAATAGAAAATCTCTTAATAAAAAAATTAAAGTTAAAAAGAGTGTAAAATGAATGTGCCAACCACTACCTTAATGGAGCATTTGACCAAATACACATGATACACACACTACTTGGGCATAGGTACTTGTGCCATCAATTCATGAGAATAAGGTAAACTAGTATGATGCTGAAATATCAATTTTACCTGTTATATTGGGACTGGTAAATATTAGAAAAGCATCATAGTACATGTATCATTCTTCACAAGGATCATAAAATCTCCTGCAGACTGTAAATTCACAAAGTAAAGATCTGTTTTCCCCCCAAGACTCAACAAACACGGAAGTAGGTAAGAGGCCACATTGATGGAGGATTCTGGTCTCTACCTTCTGTGGTGTCCACATGAGCAGATGTCTTTCTTCAAGTGAGAAAGATGCTGCTACCATGATTTGGCAAGAAACAAAGGAGAGAATGTAAAATAATAAGAAAATGAAAACTATGGTGCAAATCAAAACTTGATTGCTTTAATTCAAATGGGCATTCTTTTGAAAGGTTATATATGCTGGTTGGACATACTCTGGG